CTGGCTGGGGAATTCTGGGAGTTGAAGTCCACCCATCTTAAAGTTGCTGAGGTTGAGGAACCCTGCCTTAGAGTAACTTTAATGAGAAATGGCGTTAACACATATCACCTTAGGCTCGCCAAAATTCTTTTTTTAAAAAAATAGAATTAAAGGTTTTTGTTGGCATTTGCTTGCCCGTGTTTCCATTCTCATTAAAGATGACATGCAAGAAGGAGGAGCAATAAGAAACGTATGGCCCTCTGTTTCCCACTGTGACCAACATGCCTGCAAGACTGATTTTCTTGCATGTTTGTTGAAGTGGATAGCTTATTAAATGCTAGCCACTGTTCCTCAACCAACATGTTGGACTGCAGACCTCATAATTCTCAACAAGATTTCATTGGGATGATTGGGACTTGTGGGAAACCCATATAGAGGGCAGGAAATGAGGTAGGATGATTTAGGCTGTATCCTAAGAAGAAAGCTAATAGCTCCAGAACACGATTTTCCTTTTCTGAAGCCCCTTTTAATTACGCCTCTTTGAGGCTTTTTAATTTCCAAGGGCGAAGGTCAGTAGGTGACGCAAGTGATCTAACCTGCACTATTAGAACTTCATACTGTAGTTTAGGACAATTCGGTTACCGGCTAAACTTAGGCACTGAAGCCTTTGGAAATGTTCAAATGTATACAACTGATTAATTTCACAGCAAGGGCAGGTCTTTATGGTTTAGAGAAGTGTGGAGGAGGCTAAGTTAGGGTTGGTAAGTTAGTGCACTTGTGATGAGTTCTTAGCTCATTGTTTGCATTTTGCATTGGCAGAAATAACTACTAATTGCCTGTTCAATGAATGAATGCTAAATTAACAGCAGTTGCATTTCAAAATCCCTGCTCCCAAAGGAATACAAATGGTTATTTCTGTGTGAAGCAAATCTTGGCTGAAGAATCCACACGCTATGGAGCAGTTATCCCCACCTCAGCCCTTTCCAGAAATGTGGAACAACGGTATGGTGACTGGGGAGTTCTGGAAACTGAAGTCGACACAGACGGAGGAAAGCTGTTACAGAGGTTCTAGGGCACACTTGAGGAATGCGCAGGGAGTCATACAGCATATGGGCATTGTGGAATGCAATACTACTTCTTTGAGATTGTATGCTGCAGAAGAAAATTCATCTGCCAAACCAGCTGTCCCTTGAACTTGTCCACCACCATTAACCACCTTTTTTTTCATGGTGTCAAGTCCTGTTTTTTGTTACAGTTCCAGGCAAGGAAGTTCCTATTCAGAATGCAGCATTTCAAGGGAAGGGGGAAGTATTAAAAATACTTTCATCTAATTTGTAGATTCTTTTCACTTGTATACACCTTATTCACTTCTACAGCTCTGGATATGAAAGATTCAGGTAGAAAATAACTTGATATCAATCTTTAGCTGCAGATGAATTAATCCAACTGGGGTTATTCAAAGGGGTATTCTTTTTACTTGACACACACACACACACACACACACACACACACACACACTTATTTATATATATATTGACATCTTCAAACTTCCTGATCCAAAAATTAGATCCTGCATAGCAGGAAGAATCATTCTTCCCATGAGTCATCTCCCTATGAAATCCAAATAATTGGTCCAAGATATATAAAATGCATCAGCCACAGAGTTGAAAGGATGTTTTTGAATGGGATGCATTATATTATTGGAACATTACCCAACTGTTAGGATCCCATAGCTAGCAAATGCCCCATTCACTATTTATTCAGCACACTGCACGTAACCTTTGTCTTAAAAATGGCATTTTTACCATCAGTAGACAAGTCTTTCTGAGGGCCAAATCTTAGAATTATGCCACAAAATGTCCACATGCCATGGTTACCAATAGAGAGACAAGGTATTTTCCCCAAATAAATGCACAGGGAATGGGGAACAGTGTATGCTGTTGAAATGGGCAGAGCTGTAAATGGCTCCAAACAACATTGCTGAAAAGCGCAAGTGCCTTTAAAAATTAGCTGCTGGCCTGGGAATATGATCCCTTCCTGTGAGATCTATACGGGGCTGCAGATACTCCTTCCCCTCACCCCATCTCCCTCCTTTTCCTGTTTCCGTTTTTGTTATTTGTGCTAGAAGACTGGAGGTGCATGTTTAGTGGTGCTACAGGAGTCGTCGCGGGTGAGCAAGAGAACAATTGGTTTTATGCAGATGGAGGATTCATTTAACAAAGCGGGGACTTTGTTTTACAGGCAATTGTTTTTAATCTGTAGTTATTAATTCAATCCATACAATTTTATTTTACTGGGGGGACCAAAACTTCCCCTTTGTTGAAGTGAGTCTTTTGACAAGTCTGTCTGTATGTACACACGCACGCTATGCATACTCATTTGTAAAGTGTCACTCATTGGCTTCTGCTGGAGCTGGGCATTGCGCAAGGTTTGAGTGCATATTTCTAATTTTTCACCTGCCTTCTCACTCTTGTGAGAATGGGAATTAATTTAAATTTGGGGTCACCTTTTTTTTTCAGGTAAATGTAGCATTACCCTAAGAAAAACAAGAGCATTCCATTTATCACTCTACTCTCAGATAAATGAATACAATTAATAAGGCCTGGATTCTGATTTTACAGTATATCAAAATGTGATTGCTTCCAAACAGAACATCAAGTTCAGAATCATTCTGAGACATTTCAGTAATATTCAGTAATATAACAATACAAAAAAAGTCCCGAAATACTCAAAATATAGTCTTGTGTTCTGTTTGACATAATAGTTGAACTGTCAGAAATCTAATCGCTAAAATAACTTACCATGAACTGTGATTTATGTGCTTATTCCTATTTTTCTTGGACATGCATTTTTCTTCTGTAGATCTATTCTATTCTTTTGGGTAGTATTGGGTGACAAGGTATGTTAGAAATGAATGTGCTCTTATTTAAATAAAGGACAATTTCTTTAGAACCTTTTGCATTATCACAGCCTGGACTGAAATAATCTTGCAAACAGTTATAGAAATATATATACTGCTTCATTCTAGGCAAGGCGTTAGGGTGGACCTGTCCAACTGTTTCATCCCACAGTCTGAGCATATTCCACCAGTTTTATGTATGGCTGAAACCAAGCAGGACTGATAGACCTGGCTTTGCAAAAATAGGTTGTTAAGCAACTGACCAGCTACCATACATCGGTGTTTTTGGCTCAGTAAATCTTAAGTGGCACAAGTCTACACTATGATAAATTATTGTGTCTTTATTGGAGAATCTGGCTATAATACAAGAACACTATAGTGGTAAAAATAAAAATAAAAATAAACTGTGAGAAATTCCTTTGGCAAGACATTTGACTGAAGATATCTCATAATATTTTGTTCCTTGATAAGCATACTCATTATGGCAAAATATCTCAAATATAAACTTCATATAATAATATGCTATCTAACTATAAGATCTTCAAATGCTAAATGTATTCTTACAAAGTGGGGTTTCATGCCTGTGGGCCTTTAAGTGGGAAAAGCCATCGGCTGTAAAAAAAAAAAAAAAAAGTCCCACAATGGCCATAACACAAGAAAACCCACCGCAGAACAAGCTTTTCAAAACTCTTTTTTTTTTTGTTTTAGCTTCAGCACATTTGGTCATTGTGAATATTTGTAGTGACAAAACACTACATCGTTTTGACCCTCACGTATATTCATTCATACCTGTGCAGACTGATTGATTTTGATTCCTTCTCTCTCTCTCTCTCTCTCACACACACACACTTACTTTCACAGTGCAGGCATGGCATCGTTATGGTAAAAACCCAAATTATACCTGACAGCAATCTTTCCTGGCGTGGTCAATTATGAAGCACACTAATGCCTGCAGTCTGGAGCAACTGGGAGTGTGTGTGTGTGTGTGTGGGGGAGGTATATGTTCCCTTCTTTTGCTTTCATATTTAGGATCACTCATCCCAAGTTCATCACAACATCCCATACTAGCAAGAGGGCAGGAAATGTCGACCAAGCTCTCATCCACACACAGTATAAGTGATGCTATATATGAGTCAAGAGGGAAAGAGAGAACTTAATACAGAATGGCATTTTAGGCAGCAACCATGGGGAGCAGGGTAGTCCTGCTCTTAGGTAAGACCTGCAGGTAGAAATTATATGCCCACACTCAAACATTCTCTAATTAAATGGAATAAATTAAACCCTAATTCACCTGCAAAGAGGGTGGGCATTTTTTTTATTTTTTATGTACTCTGGTCAGCCATTTATGCCTGCTAAGAAATATTTATCCAAATGCTTTAGAAATAGCAGTAATAATAATAATAATAATAATAATTTTAAAAAAGAAAAAAGAAAGAAAGAAAGCTTTTTTCACCATGGCTGTTTAAGGCAGCAACTGCCTCCACAGTTCTCTTTGTTCTTCATCGTAATCAAGGCATGGGGCGGGATTCCAAGTTTGTGGCAGATCTGAAATGCCCCTGCTTGGTGGTTTTAGAATGCCAGGTTTGGTTTTCTTTCTCCATACATCACGGGGAGAACAAACCCAATAGAAGGGAACTGGGTATGGTCCTTGGTACCTTCACAGGTCCTCTCCAGAAGAATGTTAGGCTGTTATACGTAAATGCCCTCAGGGTTAAAACCAGAGGATAGTGGGTTCTGCAGGATACGAAGGTTGCTGGGAAGCTGCCTTGAGGAACTGGGACGTTTGAGGGAGCTGGTCTGAAATGTTGATTCTGCGAGAGAAGACACTGGTTAGCATGAAGCATTTGAACATTGTTATCTTAAGAGCTTCTTCCCCAACTGCCTAAATTTGGATTGCAAATTCCTTAGGATGGAGGGAGGGAAGGAGGGATGAAAAAAGCAGATACCTGACAGAGGTAAATTCTTTAGGATGGATGGATGGCTAGATCAATAGATTAAAAAAAAAATAGAAACTTGTTAGAAGTACTTCCTATATAATTGTCCTCTCTCTCTTTGCTGCCCCATTCTTATCTAATGAAAAGAAGACCATCTTTCCTTAAAGAGAAGTACAGCACAGTAGTAAGATAAAGAGGCAACGTCTTTGAGTGGAGCTGAAATAGTGACGTTTTGAAACAGGTTCTCCACTCCAACATACTGTTATGGGGCACTGGAAATATATTTATTGGAGGTAATGATAACATTCCATTATTACTACTTCATGAAAATGAGATAGGGGATTTAATTCTGCTGTATGTTATTATTTTACAATGGAAAATTTGAACAGTAATGATCCAATATTTTATGCCAAGTAGAGATTTGCAACTGATTCAATTGCTTTATTGCTGATCTTAGTACTTGGGGAGAGGGTGGTGTTGTCTGAATGGCCAGTATTTGTCAGCCCTTCAAGGTAGATCAGACTAGGAAACCAAAGTCATGTGGGCTAATACTACTTAGATTATAGAATGATTGTAGCAGAATCTTGCAAGTCTGCATGTGCTTCCCCTTTCCCTCCCTTTATCTCCATGAGAATCAGGGAGGGTCTTGTCTGAGACACTTTCTCAGGTTACAGTTCTGGCCCGGGCTCAGGTTTCTTTTATCTGACCGCTGTCTTGGTAGCAGCTCTTCCTCCTGTTCCTCACAGTTATTCCTTGTGCCCATGACAACATTTGAGCTTTATACAAAAGGTGTATTTATCTATGCATGTATGAGAAAGTGACTGCAAGCACACAAATACACAAGGATTCACTAGATACTGGAGGGCTGCTGTGGAACCTCTAGAGTTTCAGTCTCCCTCCATGTTAGACAAATGATGCAGTAGAGTCTCCCTCAAGTCAACCTCACCTCCTAGTGTCCATATTGTTTCCTTGGCACCTTTAGAGAACTGATCTGTCTTTTGTCCAGGATGTTTTGTTGACTTTCCAGTCTAGTCAACAGTTGTGGGACTTCCTTAGGCCTCTCATCCAAGTACTAACTAGATCTAACCTGCTTAGCTTTTTCAAAATCAGGCTAGCCCCTTGACTCAACTCTGTACCTAATTTCAGGACAATTCTGCACATGGTCTAGTGGTTAAGGCACCAGGCTAGAAAGCAGGAGACTGTGAGTTCTAGTCCTGCCATAGGCATGAAAACCAGCTGGGTGACCCTGGGCCAGCCACTCTCTCTCAGATGCCTTGAGTTATTTATAAAAATAATAAAGGCAGGATTAAAAAAAATCTAAAGAAAAAATCAATTCAGAGTTCTGCCAAGAGTTATCTATCTCTTCTCTCCAGCTTGATAGAGAAAGAAAGGGTGCATTTTCATAAAGAAAAAACCCAACAACAATGGGGGTCTCCATCCACTTTTAGCTCCATCCTTAATCTTATCATCGACCCCCCAATACTATACTCTTACTGGATACTCAACAGAAGAAAGCTTGTCGCACTACACCTAATGAGTATATCCTACCCATTACCTCTTTCTCCTTCTTTAACAGGGGATGGCTTCCTGTTGCTTGTGTGCAAAGGGGTCAGACCTGGCAACATTTATACAAGGTCTCCTGTCCAACCCTCAAAAGACCAAAGACGAATTGTCAACGGATCCCCCAAAGATCCCCTTCTGCTCTGTTTTAGGGAGGGGGTAGGAGTATCTTGTCATCTCAAAAGTGGATACCTTTCTCAAGCTCTGGGTGTGAAGACTCCAATTCAACAGGTTCAGCAGGAAGGACGGTGACTTTGGTCCCCGTCTGCTGGATGAACTGCTGGAGATTGACTTGACGCAGTTCTTTTGTCAGCTGTTCTAGTTCTTGTTCTCTTTCCTGAGGAGGAGAAGACACTAAAATGATTCACTTGGACAGTTCTAAACAATCAAAGTGATGCTGTTACCACTGAAAAGAAACAAGAATGGCTGGCATTCGAAGATGCCTCAGTGCTAATTTTCTCTTCTCACTCCACCCAAACCACTGAATGAAGTTATTCCACCGACATCTCAGTCTTTGGCAGCTGTCTCAAGCTGAATGTGATGTTTTTTCCCCAACCACCATGCTCACAAAATTCTCTTCAGCAACATGTATTGAGATGAAGAGGATGGGTTTGCATGATTTGCAGACACTGAACTATTTCCCATTAAGGACCAATTGATGTATCATTAGGATGGAAACGTTTTGACTTTTAACGACCTTCCTGTGATCTTGTGGGGAGATGGGCTTCTTTGTTGATAACGGAGAAGTTTGCAACTGGCTGTTTATGTAGCAGCCTTCTGAATCTTTGCAACCAACCATTTCATCCATACAACCACGCTCCATGCTAATGCTTACATGTTTCGTTTTATTCTTCCTGAGCATGCATCCTGGCTGCGATCAAAAATCTCTGAACACCCTTTTCTGATGCTAAAATGACTTTGGTGGGGGGGAATGTCAGGAGTTCTGGCCCCTTCTTAAGTCATATACAAAATGTATTTTTGAATTCTAGGTCTTTTAGTTATAAAGAAAAATGGTCCCAAGACTGATATAATTTGCTTATGTTTAAAGAAAAACAGGGCCACACGGTGTTCTCTTCATTAAGAAAAGCTGCCCCAAATGAAAACCTTGCTTTGCATGATCATTTCTAAGGTTACAAAGCATTTTGTCCTCTGATATGGGAAGGATCTAAACACAGCTCCATCTAGAGGATCTCCTTCTCTTAAACAGCAATGCCGTGTTGCAAATGCCTGTTACTGGAAACAGAGTCCTGGTGGAGATGTATTCCTGCCTAACTGGCAAATTTATTTTTTAAAAGATTCACCGAAGCCTCTTGAAAAGCCACTAAAAGGAGAAAACACACAGTTCCTTGGCAGAAACCAACTTGGAGAGTGAAGCATGACATATATAAGCAATTAACTTGGATCTATTTTTCTCTTGTTTGAGAGGGAAAGATTTGTATGAATTGGGTAAGTCATATTATGGTTGCATCCAAAGGATTGGAGTTCCCCATTCACACAGTGGGATGTGAACCTACAGGGTGATGATATACAAGCCATATCTGATCTACGAATTTCTGCCCCATAGATCATAACTCAACTCCTTAGTTCGGATTCTGCTCTCTGCAATTACAAAACCCAACACTTTTGAAAAGAATGAAATGCAAGCTGTAGAACTCCCCCCCATCCCCTCTCCCCCAAACCCCACAGTAACTGTGATTATTGGTACCACCACACCTGGGCTGCACGTATCCAAAATACTCTGCTGTCACCTTGTGAATGTCTGGAACTTTGCAGCCCAGGTCTGTTAGCCCTAGTAAGTACCAAGATGCCCACACACACTTTTCTTGAGACCCAGCAGGCCCCTTTCTTATTGCAGGCAGTAATAAAATATTCAACCCAATTTGAGAGTAAGCCAGCATGTTGCAAAGCAAAGGACTTGTCCTCCAAATCAACGTTATTTCCAAGAATGCTCTTGTATGGTCTTTCTTCTTAAAGAAAGAAAAGGGTGGTTGACTATGGGTCACTGCTTTGTTTGGAAGCATGCTCATTTACCCAGAAAGAGGATAATAAGCCGGGAATTGATAGTGCATTATCTTGGGTGGCTACAGAGAGCCAGAAGCAACTTGCCAGTTTGCCGATAAATCAGTGCCTTGGGAGTGGCCATAACTACTGCGGCACTCATGCTGTCAGCATGCAAGACTTACTCTGTGGCAGCCATTTATTCTGAATGACCATGAGATGTCTTCTAGATGTTAGGTTTCACTGCCAGCTCAGCAGATTGGAAACCCACACTTTGGATGATGAACAAAATGTATCTAGGGGAAAATATTTTGGAAAACAGAGACTGGTTCCTATGTTGTACAGACAAGGTTCTCCAGGTACTCTGTGTATGTGTGTGTGTGTGTGTGTGTGTGTGTATCAGTTTTTAGAAAAACACATGGGCAATATAGTTAAAACATGGTATATTATCATGACTTTTCTATTATGAGAAAATGATTCATGAAAGATGATGGTCCCACCTGTAACCGTTTGGTAGCTTGGCCCAGAGATCTTTCAACAGCTTTTATGCCATTTTCCAGCCTGAGACTTTGTTGGCCTTGGATATCAATTTCCCCTTTCACTTTGTCAATCTTCCCTTTGACTTCTTCTTCATTTACTTTTGCCTCCTGTACTTCCCGTTGTAACTTTTCTGCCTCAAGGCCACTTTCCATGTTATGAATCTGGACCACGTACTCTTTCAGCTTGCTTTCACAGTCCAAAATCCTTTGCCTGATCTCCTGGAGCTGCTCTTTCAGTTGTTTCTCATTTTCCTGCTCAATCTGGAGTTCATTTTCCCAGAATTCCTCCTCCTCGATCTCCACCTCATTCCTTTTGATCTTCTGCTCCAGTTTGATAATTTCATCCTCCAAGCTGTAACTGAACTTCTGCTCCCAATATTTAATTTCAGCATCATCTGAGTCCAGCTGTTTCTCAATAGACTGTAGCTTCTCCGTCTGGAGATGGATCAGTTTTTTCAACTCATCCACTGTGGTCTTGCAGTTAAGGACTTTCTGCTTGAATTCAGACTCTTTGCTTTTCCCAAAAATGTCCATTAATCCTTTGGCTCCTCCAGTGAAAGTCAAAGATTTCCTTTTTGGCTCTCTCCTTTTAATCGACTTATCATTCTGAGGTCTGAGTTTGGCCAAGGGAGGTAGGCTTTGCCGGTACAAAGTCCTTTCTGGTATCCGAGCAACACTGTCAGATGTTGGCCGCTCGCTAAGCGATGGCCCGGTGCGTCGCAACACTAGCTGCACATCACTTGCATATTGTCCCCATTTGTTCAAGGAAATTATAGGGTTTTCATGAGGTGCCAAATGTCTCTCTGTATCTCTCCATTTTTCTATCAAAGTATACCTTCCAGTACGACCTAAAAAGGAAAATAAGATTGCAGACATAATTGCAGCTACTGGAATGAGCCAGCAGAGGACAGAATTGCACAACGAGAACATCAGACACCCCATTAAAAAGTTAGACAATCAAACCATTTACTGGTAAAGTACTTTATGATAATTTAACTTGAATCTACATTAGCGCCAACATTTTTGCAAGCTAACAAGCCATATCTACAAAAGCATTGATGATGCATGTATACTAATCACATCATAATATTTAGTAATACTAATTTCAAAGCAGATTTTTGGCCTAACATTTCAACTATCATCCAATTTACCAAAAAGGTAAAAACAATCAGCATGATCAAGATACTGTACAAGTGTGTCTCCCACAGCAGTGGACTGAAAGAACTATGCACTTGTAGCAGGGTTTCTCCAGACTGTGTTTTTTTTAACACACACACTTGTGTTTTGAATAAAGATCACCCTTGTAGAGAAAAGTGGGGAGAAAAGAACATTCTGTTCCCTTCCTAATGAGAATGGTGCCTTTAATCAAGAAGCAACAAAACGTTCTCTCCTGTTGAAGTCATGACCGCTGGAAACACAGAGATTATGTACTGTAACATATCACTGTATGACATATATCAGTTTTCAGTCTAGAATCCCATAACGCTGATAGTGATAACTAGAAAGCTGAAAAACCTTTACTGTACAACTTGAAACATCATTTGAAGTTATGGACCTGCTTCTGGAAATGTAATAGAATCTTCCCCAGGATACCAACAAACAGGATCAATTTCACTCAATGCATCTGAAAGTTGCATATCCTTTCAGAAATTTCCAACAGACGAATGAATATGTACTTCTGGGCAATTGATTCTATACTCCCAGTGTGACAAAAGGTGTGTGTGTGTGCATGCGTGTGTGCATTTGTATGTGTATAGGTTGGCTAGGGGCTGCCATTTTGCTGGACACACCTGTGAGACACAATCAAATTTCAAATAAATGCATTTTAACATTACACCAACATTAATTATAATTTAATGAAATAAGTCATGATCACAAACCACAATCTGATGTTGCTTGTTTTGCAAGGAAGTATAACTAAAACATATTACAGTTAGTCCAGATTTGGAGATAATTTAGTATTTGGTTCTATATAACTAAAAAAGCCAGAAAGCAAAAGTCACTAAGATGATCACTGCATCACAGGAAAAGAAATTCACTTATGCAATAGAACATAGTTCTAAACAACATTTGAAGGCAACTACTGAATTCAAAGATTATATTAGAGATGTAATTAGCACATGATGCTAATCCATGAATTAATACTATGGATATTAGCAGAACATATTTCAATCAAGTTCTAGACTTGCATATTTCACAACATAGCTGACTTATGCAATGTTCAATTCCACAGTTACAGAATTCTGGCTTGTTACACCCCAAACAAGAATACATTTTTAAAAGCCCTTTTGTTCAACCCAAGTGCTGTGAGCTCTTTGGGATGGTGGAGAGCATCTTGCAAAAAGATTGTCCCGTTATCTTTGCCTGTTCATACAAGGGCTATGAGTGTGTTTCTGGCCCGTCTCAAGATACCCATTTAACGGAAGGCAAAGTAGTAATATTGTTCCGTCATTCACTCTAATTGCCCAGAATACTCCTAGCTGTCATAGTTTACTTTGCCTTTTTCTGGGCAGACAGCCATATTTCTATTAAAGCCCTACAAAGCACTGAGGACCAGCCACTTACTTTTTAGCCTCACATGTCAACAACTGAACTTGGCCATGTAGTCATTAATTTAGGAACTCTGGGTGGAATTATGCTGGTCACATTTTGGAAGCCTAAATGGTGGAGATGCAAAATCTGGGATGCTATGAAAGTTTACAACTTGACTGGTTCCAAAATCTTTGGGATTGGAAAACCAACTTAGAATTAGTGACTTGGGCAAAAGTATCCACTGATAAATTAATAAAAGAGGACACTTAGAGGACATCACTGATTCACACGGACTGTGATTTTGTTCAACAGCGGACCAATTTGGATTAAGAAGCCTTTTCTTTTTTGATTTTTCAAGGTATCCAGAGAGCTTAAAATTCTAGCCTGTGAATCCTCTGCTGGTTTGTGCCATTTTGCATTTTCTTCAGTAAAACTCAGAAATAACAATTGAATGATGGAGACATTTTTAAAGATTTCCTTTGTTTAATTATTTCAATCATGTCTGATTCTTGGAGACTGTTTGGACAAGTCCCTGCAGTTTTCTTGGCAAGATTTCAGAAGAGGTTTGCCGTTGCCTTCCTCCTAGGGCTGAGAGAAAGTGACTGGCCCAAGGTCACCCAGTTGGCTTTGTGCCTAGGTGGGACTAGAACTCACCGTCTCCTATTTTCTAGCCTGATGCCTTCACTGCTACACCAAACTGGCCCTCTTTGCATTGTCTTCAGTAAAACTTAGAAATCATAATTGAATGAGACATTTTTAAGATACTTTGTACTATTTCCTGAACGACCATTCCCAAGATTGGCTGAGATGGGGGAAAATCTGTGAAAATATAGAACTTAGGCATGGTTTAGTCTACCTCTTTATGAGACTATGAGCTTATAGGAACAGTAAAATATTGAGTAGCTAATTGTTATTATGATGAATCATGCCCAGATTGTTCCTGGTAGCTTTTACTGAATCGTGACTGCAACCTATGAATTATGTATTTGTTAAGACTAATCCAATTTTGAAAATAAACCCCATGGAAACTGTTGTCATATAAATGGGAGAAAAAACCTATTAGTGACCTACAGATCTTTACTAGCAGCAATAAATCTAATTTTTGTACTGTATTATGACAATTTAGGCCCTACTAAAAATACAAGAATGTGAATAGTCAAAAATATCAAGGGCAAAAGCTACAGACTGATCCTTTCTCTTTAATGAATACCCTATTTTTAAACAATGTTTAGACCACTCGCTATTAAAGGCTCTGTGTGCAAAACAGACAGAGATTTCATTGTACACTGTGCTGCAGCAAGCAAATCATTTAGTCCCCTTTGCAGTTTAGAGGCTAACTTATTGTTAAATGCTTTTACAAAGGTGGGCAGGGCAAAAACAAATCAGGAAGCAATGATGCCATGTGTAAACAAAATGGAAGAATTATTCAAAGCACTAAACCAACGAGCAACTTTCACAAACAGTATTATTTTGCACAGGGGGTTGAAGTTTTTTTTTTTAAAAAACAAACCTTCATGTCCTGCTTTGCAGAATTAGGAGAAGCAGGCTTATACAGGCTGTCCCCAGGTAAGCCATGACTTAAGTAATTCCAGTGTTATAAGGGGTCACGACAAGGGCGGCCATAGCTTTTGGGCTGTGATTTTCCTGCATGCTTGTGGAAACGGCAGTTATCTATGCTGTCAACTACACTAAAATACCTAAGTGGTGAGCAGTGCGTGGATCACCAAACACATGCAACCCCCCATCCCATTCTGAGAGCCCCAAAGCACCCCAGATTGTGATATCCTAAACCAGCCTTTGTTTTGTGCAACACAGATTTCTGGTGGTGTAGTTTTTCCTCAGCCCACTTGGTCCTTCAAAATGTTCCCCCAATAAAGATGTGCTTGAGTCAAACTTGACTGCCTCCTGACTGTAACCAAGCAAAGATACGGAGATGCCTGGCTGCTGTCTTCTTCTGGGACATTTCCTCATCCCCCGAGTTTGGTCAGCAGCTCTGAAAGTTCAAGGTGACCCACCATCCAAGTGCTAACCAGTCAAGCAATCTGTTTATTATTTTGATCACAGGTTTACTAGCCTAGGTGGCCAACCCTGCTTAGCTTCTGAGATCAGACAAGGTTGCCCCTTAAGGGGCCAAAAATGCTGACTGTGTCATTTTGGTGATAATGTTACTTCTCTGGCAATGCACCTGGAAGGTCATGAGAGTTGATTTTGTTTTGTTTTTGGTGAAAGTTGCCCATTTCTGATATGCAACTACAATTATGGAACTGCATGGACACATTCAAGGGAAAAAACACTGCTCACGTGGACTCTAGTAAACTGTATGTAAATCTATGACACAACAAGCCTCTTTCTTTCACAAAAGCTGGGATTCCTGTGAACAAAATTCCACAATATCCAATGTATCACCTTTTTTGTTAAACATTTGTGGAACTATTTTGCAAAAACTGCTTTTATTGCGGAAATGGGCTGATGAATGCACCATAATAGCGTCCAGGAAATGTCTCTTGCAGGTGGGTAGAGCTGCTGTTCGATCTACATTCTTGTTGCATTTAAAGGAAGGTATTTACACACTACACATGAAATCATCCCAAATAAGGAACACAACAAAGATGAGCATTAGGATGTGTTTACACAGGTTGCTTAATTAGGCTATAAAGTTACCCAATAGACTGAATTGTAAAGGGACCAAATAGCTGGGTTTGCCCAGACTGAGCTGCCAAAAAAGTTTAAAAGTAAACAAATCTAAGAACTATTCGTGTTTTTTTGCCTTCCCTTGACAAGCATGTTGAGTGAAAGCACCCCATCTGATCTATCTAAACCAAAACTGAAGCAAATGCTGCTGATGGGCCACGCCGCTTCTTCAAGGAAGAGAGTTTCTCACCCCAACTTGGGATGTCACAAATTGGAGCCACTGTATGAACCCAGCCTCTGTGTGTCTCAGTGTTGCATGACATGTGTTGGCTCAGGGCATTAGGAAAATTGAGGTTCAGGACTGCTGTTATCTGCCAATTGCTGTTTGCTAGCTTAAAATATAACAAGAAAGCAACAATGGTTGGGAGGGAAGAATGTTATGCATGGTTTGACTTAAACATCTGCACCGTCCGTTTTATCTCAAAAAGTATATAAATATGAACAACACATTTATCTACTAAACATGTTTTAAGACTCCTTGTTTTTTAGATGTTCCATAGTATAATACTTGAGCATGAGAATCATGCATGTCTTACTCTTGAGATGAGCATGTATGCTTCAGCATCAAATTTGGGCAAGTACCATCAGCACAAATCTTTACTACCAACCAAAAAGAAGAACGGTA